ACTTGTGACCTTAGCTCCTCATTCAGAAAATACTTGTGACCTTAGCTCCTCATTCAGAAAATACTTATGACCTTAGCTCCTCATTCAGAAAATACTTGTGACCTTAGGTCCTCATTCAGAAAATACTTGTGATCTTAGACCTTATGACTTTCCTCATTCAGAAAATACTTGTGACCTTAGCTCCTCATTTCAAAACTACTTGTGACCTTAGCTCCTCATTCAGAAAATACTTGTGACCTTAGGTCCTCATTCAGAAAATACTTGTGACCTTAGGTCCTCATTCAGAAATCACTTGTGACCTTAGCTCCTCATTTCAAAACTACTTATGACCTTAGCTCCTCATTCAGAAAATACTTGTGACCTTAGCTCTTTATTTCAAAACTACTTCTGACCTTAACTCCTCATTCAGAAAATACTTGTGACCTTAGCTCCTCATTTCAAAACTACTTATGACCTTAGCTCCTCATTCAGAAAATACTTATGACCTTAGCTCCTCATTCAGAAAATACTTGTGACCTTAGGTCCTCATTCAGAAAATACTTGTGATCACGGCCACTCTTCTCATGACTTCAGCTACTCAATAAAGTACTCATGACCTTGGCTACTCATTTCAGAAACTATTTGTGACAGTAGCTATTCATAACTTCAGCTACTTTTCATGCACAACAGTAGCTACTCAGGATAGTCACGGCTGCTGTTTCCCCTGCAACTATCAGAGAATGCATGGCGTTTGTTGGCACCCTTCTAATGCAAAAGCAGACTGACCTTCTACAAAGTGACCTTGCAATATCCAGAGCACAGGTGGCACTCTGAGTGTTCATTATTGTGTTAATCATCAGTTTTTCATCAGTTTTCTACTGCTATCAAGTTGTCAAAGAATATATTCTTTTACGCTTTTGAAGTAGCATTCTAACTGATGTGCCGGATCAATTTATAAACTTAACACACACGTTACTGCTTCAAATCGACATGATTGGATAAAGATTGATGCACACACAATGAATCATTTTTATTGGATAAAAAGATTCGGAAACATTTATTCACTTCAGCCACTTTAAGGGTGTTGTAAAGATTAATTTTACCCTCCGCTCGGACAAGATCTCCCAGTGTGTGTGGATGTAACTGAGCTGATATTAGGCGGCTAGTGATGGATTGGGAAATAAGTGCTTTAGCTCATGTAAATTCCTGTAGTAGTCGATGTTGGGTGGGATGGAGTACTGGGCGTCCGCGCAACCCTGCAGGTTAAACAACGGCATAATCGTAATTTAAAATATACTGACCTTTAGTAATACCTGCTGTAACTTAACACATAAATCCATTTTGAAGTTTTAATCCTTATACATAAACATGAACCTGTCTGTGGAAGTGAAATTGGGAATATTCTGTTTTCCTAATGACTCGTCCAACAATGACCATTGTGATTTGTTCTTCCCCAACAAGTGCCAGGTTTTCTTTGTGACACAATGAGACGAATATATCAAGATGTTGATTCAACTGTGATAAATAATATCAAATTAGTTTACAAAATTTAAAAAATAATATACAAATTTATAATACATGCATTTTCTGTACAAGACTGTTTAATTCCTTTAAATACATTAATTCAATATCACTATAGATCATATTAAGAAGGGGACCACACAAAATATAAAAATGTTGCTATGGTATTTTTATTATAAAAGAACAATAATTTACACTTATTTCTTCACCTGCAATAACTAAGTTGAAACACAATTCATACTTTTACGAGAAGGAGGAGTGAGTGAGTGAGTTGAGTTTTACGCCGCACTCAGCAATATACCATCTATATGGAGGCAGACTGTAAATAATCGAGTCTGGACCAGACAATCCAGTGATCAACAGCATGAGCATCGATCTGCGCAATTGGGAACCCATGACATGTGTCAACCAAGTCAGCGAGTCTGACCACCCGATCCTGTTAGTTGCCTCTTAGGACAAGCATGGGTTACTGAAGGCCAATATTCTAACCCGGACCTTCACGGGTTTTACGAAAAGGGACATGACATCACCACAGTACAGAGGCGAAATGGAAACCCATCCACACAATTTATTAAACTCTATTATTTACTTTATAATATCAGGACGATTTTGAAGTCACATATGTTACACTGGAACACTTCCAGCTGCACACTGTGAATAAAGAAAAGCTCACTTCAGTGGGATACAGTTGACTGCTGATCCTACAAACTATTTACATGTACTGACACAACTAGTTTCAAATGACACGACAAATTTGTAAAAACAACAGAAAGAAAATTGTATCTTTAACAATTCTAAATACATATAAATATCCTTTGATAAAATAATAATATCCTTAACAACTGGTTTTGTAATTCCATCCACACAATCTGTAGCTAGTCAAAGGAGTTTGATGATTTTCATGACAAAGGCTGCCTACTCAGCCTGGTGTTTGTTCTTTAGCATTGCAATATTCCAGTCATATGAAGGTGACTTTAAAATAAGCAATTCACATGTAAATAAACAAATAATTCATATCATTACCAACATCACGTGAGTGAGTATGGTTTTACGCCGCTTTTAGCAACATTCCAGCAATATCACGGCTGGGGACACCAGAAATAGGTTTCACACACTGTACCCATGTGTAGAATCGAACCTGGCTTTTCAGCATGACGAGACAACACTTTAACCATGTAACTACCCCACCGTCTCCCAACATCACAGCCACTGAGGTATGATGGCATGAAATGTAATAGTGAGTGAGTGACTTTAGTTTTATGAAACTTTTAGCAATATTCCAGCAATATCACAGAGGGGCACACCAGAAATGGGCTTCACACATTGTACACATGTGGGGAATCGAACCCAGATCACAGCGTGATGAGTGAACGCTTTAACCACTAGTCTACCCGACCGCCCCATGAAATATAATACCCAGCCTACCCAGTTGTAACTTTCAGTGCCTGTTATTACCAGGAAATTTTTCCTGGACTGCCCATCTAACCACTCTGTATGTATGACAGTAGAAATGAAGGCTCCTGATTTGCTTAATTAGAATGACAATTTAAATATTTTCATTTCATCAAAACACATTTTTTTATTATTACATTACAGCAAGGAGTTTCAAGGAATATTTACATTATTATTTCTAATACAGAATTAGTGAGCTTCTTGTGAGAGAATATCTTATGTCTCTTTCATTTTGGGAAATGGGAGAGGTATTCTTGTACAAGTTGGAGCATTCATTGCATAAATGTTTATTGACTGGGAGATGACAGCACTGACTAACTCCAGTGCTACAAATATTTTTACATTAAATAATTCAGCATTTGTCAAAGACAGTTTTCTCAAACTCATAAGAACATGTTTTTTTCTACTTACCATAGGTCTGTATTTGACTTGTAGTATCATTGAACATGTTTTCGAACTGCGGGAAACTGAATATGTTTTTCAATTACAGGTGACTGTCTTTTGTAATTACAGGTAACGGAGAGTGAAGTGGAATGATAGAGGACAACACGAATGTTAAACCAGATTCACATTCATCATTCTGCTCTACAAAAAAGATCTACAACTTATTCCTGATAAAGCTGACCACTACAAAAAGTTTGAGAAATCTGCAGTTGCTGTACAAGTTTGCCATGTGATTGAAAATCAATGTATAGTGCACATTTGCAGTGGTTCCAAGCAAGTCCTGCGACTGCAGGCCCCAGATGGTCCCTTTATCAGGTGTAATCATACGCCGCACCGTTGTCAGTTATCAGCAATGTAAACTATCATTAAGTGAATGAAAGCATCTCGAGTTAGGGCCCTCTTGCCACAGTTGTTTGCCAAATGCCCTCTAATGCCTCCAGTACAAACACTGATTGGTGCTCCGCTAGACTTAATACAGGGTACCCCCTATAAAGGTTAGTTAGTGAGCTGATGACACCTGCTACAATCTAATTTTATAATCTCACATCTTGCCACCCTGTTCTCTTTCGTGTTAGTGAGACTCAAATACTCCTCCCTCAAGATTATGACAAATGGTCCAATTAGAAATATTTGTCACTTGGCAGACTCCAAACCCACTATTTGGCTTCATCGGCAGTGTCGGGCTCCGGTCGCTGTCAATCTCCTTCAGCATTAAGGGCTATCTCATCCAATAGGAACAAAGGTGTAATTCGCTGCTAATGCCAGGCCACCTATACTGCTCTCAACACAAAGCAGAGCCAGCCAGAAGGTCTCTGCCCACGAACAAAGCTGGACTCGTCATGAGCAGACCAATCTCCCAGCTGCCGACATCCATGACACGGTGGACAACTTGACTTTCTCAGAGGCTTTTCAGAAGTCGTTACAGGCTGGTCATGAAGAGGAGGGATTAAAGAGCATCACATCCCTGTGAGGACTTGCGGAAGTGACTATAAAAACACACGGAATTACTTTTGATACTGGGAAACATTTTGCAGACACTGTGTGGACTTTGTGAGAATTGTATGCTTTGATGGGAACTTTGTGTATCTGATATTTTTCAGAAACCATTTGATTTAATTGATCTCTTAATAACTCCTGACAGTGCTAACATTGGGACTTCCTGGGACATGGCCACTCTGCACTGACATTTTGGGACAGTGAATACAATTGGGACTTCATCAGAGAGTGGCCACCATTAGAACTTGATGGAATAGGTGCCTTCTTCTTGGACAATTTGGACAGTGCCTAACATTGGAATTTCATCAGACAGTGGCCACCATTTCAACTTTCTGGGATAAAGTCTGTCTTCTTGGACATTTTGGGACAGTGCACACCACTGGGACTACCTGGGACAGTCCTCACTGGACTTTGCTGGACAAGGTCTGTCTGCATCCACATTTAAGCCAGTGCTCTTCTGTTTGGACTTTGAAATCAAGGATTTACCAAACCATTAGATACTTCCATGATTCATGGGCCGGACACTGTGAAATAAGTGAGTTACAAAACTTATCATATCTGATTGCTTTGGTTTGAAACTTTTATTACGGTTAAGAATGAATCTCACAATGAATACATCAAGCCTTAATGAGACTAATCTTTTAACAAACCTGTCCTTCGACACAAACTTTTCTGACAATTCCTCGGCATATTATGACAGTAATGAAGACATCTTGCAAACACTGTTCTTGCCGATAGTCGTGTGTAGTGGCATCATTGGGATAGTGCTTACTGTGATCGTGTTGAGCAGGAAGACCATGTGTACATCGACCAACTGTTACCTGACATCTTTGGCAGTTGCTGATCTGTTGTTCTTGCTCATAATGTCCGTGCAGATACTCTTTGACAATGCCAAAAATCCTCTCAGCATCTCGGAACAAATTGACGAGATTTTACACCACTACTTAACAATTCTCATGAACACTTTTCACGTTCGTCAGTGTGGGTGACAGTGATGCTTGCCGTGGAACGTTACATAGCAATCTGCCATCCTCTCCGAGCCATGGCAATCTGCACTATTAAGAGGGCAAGGATCGTCATCATCAGCCTCTTTATTATAGCATTCTTGATTCGAATTCCAAAATTTTTTGATTTCCGATTTGACGTCATTAAAAAAGCTGGCATTTGGTATTTGACATATCAGACAGTGTACAACCAGGCCTGGTACTCGCTGATTGTGGATGGATTCTTCGCTGCCATACTACCATTCATTGCTCTTCTTGTGCTCAACGTTCGACTTATTGTAGAAATCCGCCGATCGAGTCGCTACCTCCGATACCATCTGGCAGCAGATTCGTCGATCCAGTCAGTTATATCCAGTGAGCAGCTTAAAATCACTCTGATGCTCATCAGTATCATCGTCGCCTTCTTCCTCTGCCAGAGCCCCTTTGTCGTGTACAATGCCATCATTGCTTTCAACAAGTTCCGCCTGTCAGCCAGCCCGCAGTCATTTGAGTGGTATCAGTCGTTTACCAAGATTCTTGTTGCACTCAAGTCGTCCTGTAACTTTGTCCTGTATTGCTGGTTCAGTGAGAAGTTCTGGAATACCTTCAAGAGGATCTTCTGTCTCCAGTACTGCTTGCCCAAGCAGATGCCGAAGGGTGCCCACGCCAACAGCCACAACAACATGCATCGTCCCTCCTACATGGTGACCCGGGAGACTACATGTTAGCTGGATTACAGTGTATTGTATAACATTAGTTCTCATACCCCTATACCCTGTCCTAGAGATCCTTTGTATTATATGTAAAAACATTAGTACTCATACCCCTATACCCTGCCTTAGAGATCCTTTGTATTGTATAACATTAGTACTAGTACCCCTAAACCCTGTCCTAGAGATCCTTTGTATTATATGTAAAAACATTAGTACTCACCTATACCCTGTCCTAGAGATCCTTTGTATTGTATAACATTAGTACTCATACCCCTATACCCTGCCCTAGAGATCCTTTGTATTATATGTAAAAACATTAGTACCCATACCCCAATACCTTGTCCTAGAGATCCTTTGTATTGTATAACATTAGCACTCATACCCCAATACCCTGTCCTAGAGATCCTTTGTATTGTATAACATTAGCACTCATACCCCTATACCCTGCCCTAGAGATCCTTTGTATTACATGTAAAACATTGGTACTCATACCACTAAACCCTGTCCTAGAAATCCTTTGTATTATATGTAAAAACATTAGTACTCATACCCCCTATACCCTGTCCTAGAGATCCTTTGTATTATATAACATTAGTTCTCATACCCCTAAACCCTGTCCTAGAGATCCTTTGTATTATATGTAAAAACATTAGTACTTATACCCCTATACCCTGTCCTAGAGATCCTTTGTATTGTATAACATTAGTTCTCATACCCCTATACCCTGTCCTAGAGATCCTTTGTATTATATGTAAAAACATTAGCACTCATACCCCTATACCCTGCCCTAGAGATCCTTTGTATTATATGTAAAAACATTAATACCCATACCCCAATACCTTGTCCTAGAGATCTTTTGTATTATATGTAAAAACATTAGTACTCATACCCCTATACCCTGTCCTAGAGATCCTTTGTATTGTATAACATTAGTTCTCATACCCTATACCCTGTCCTAGAGATCCTTTGTATTATATGTAAAAACATTAGTACTCATACCCCTATACCCTGTCCCTAGAGATCCTTTGTATATGTAAAACATTAGCACTCATACCCCCTATACCCTGCCCTAGAGATCCTTATGTATTGTATAACATTAGTACTCATACCCCTATACCCTGTCCTAGAGATCCTTTGTATTATTGTATAACATTAGTTCTCATACCCTATACCCTGTCCTAGAGATCCTTTGTATTATATGTAAAACATTAGTACTCATACCCCTATACCCTGTCCTAGAGATCCTTTGTATTATATGTAAAAACATTAATACCCATACCCCAATACCCTGTCCTAGAGATCCTTTGTATTATATGTAAAAACATTAGTACTCATACCCCTATACCCTGTCCTAGAGATCCTTTGTATTGTATAACATTAGTTCTCATACCCCTATACCCTGTCCTAGAGATCCTTTGTATTATATGTAAAAACATTAGTACTCATACCCCTATACCCTGTCCTAGAGATCCTTTGTATTATATTTAAAAACATTAGTACTCATACCCCTATACCCTGTCCTAGAGATCCTTTGTATTATATGTAAAAACATTAGTACTCATACCCCTATACCCTGTCCTAGAGATCCTTTGTATTACATGTAAAAACATTAGTACCCATACCCCTATACCCTGTCCTAGAGATCCTTTGTATTATATAACATTAGTTCTCATACCCCTATACCCTGTCCTAGAGATCCTTTGTATTGTATAACATTAGTTCTCATACCCCTATACCCTGTCCTAGAGATCCTTTGTATTATATGTAAAAACATTAGTACTCATACCCCTATACCCTGTCCTAGAGATCCTTTGTATTATATTTTTGTAATATATATTATAAAACATTAGTACTCATACCCCTATACCCTGTCCTAGAGATCCTTTGTATTATATGTAAAAACATTAGTATTCATACCCCTATACCCTGTCCTAGAGATCCTTTGTAATATATTTAAAAACATTAGTACCCATACCCCAATACCTTGTCCTAGAGATCCTTTGTATTATATGTAAAAACATTAGTACTCATACCCCTATACCCTGTCCTAGAGATCCTTTGTATTATATGTAAAAACATTAGTACCCATACCCCTATACCCTGACCAAGAGATCCCTTGTGGTATTTGTAGGAATGTCAGTACTAATACTGTATACTCTGACCCTTTAAATAATTTGTATTATATGTAAAAACATTAGTTCTCATACCATTAGAGATCCTTTGTAGTATTTGTAAGAACATCCATGCTGATACCTGTAGGCCCTGGCCCTTCAGATCCTTTGTAATATTTGTGAAAACTATAACATTCATACCTATAAACCCTTTCCCTAGAGATCCTTTGAAGTATGTGTACAAACATCAGTGCTGATACCTGTGGACCCTGGCACTAGAGATCCTTTGTAGTATTTATAGAGATCCTCTCTAGTATGTGTAAGAACATCAGTGCTGATACATGTATACCCTGACCCTAGAGATCCTTTGTTGTACATATATGTGTAACATAAGTGCAATATCACTTGTATACCATGGTCTTACAGATCACAAGCCCTGTGAAGATTCAGGTTAGAACTGATCTTCAGTAACCCATGCTTGTCGCAAGAGGCGACTAACGGGATTGGATGGTCAGGCTCGCTGACTTGGTTGACATCGGTTCCCAATTGTGTAGATCGATGCCCATGCTGTTGATCACTGGATTTTCTGGTCCAGATTTGATTATTTACAGACCGCCACCATATAGCTGGATTATTGCGGAGTGCGGTGTAAAACTAAACTCACTCACTCACAGACTACATGCATACCGTGCTGTGTACATACTGAGACCACTAATACCTATCACATGAATGTATTAAGTATTCATCACAAACTCTTATCCCATAAGCATGTCTCAAGTAATTACTCGACACTACTTTGACTGACCCCTAAAGTACTTTAAATATTAAGTATTCATTGCATAAGTGCTCATCGCTTTAGTATTGATTATTGATAAGTACTGATAACACAAGTACTGATCCCATAAATACTGATTACACAAGTATTGATTACATCAGTACTAATAACACAAGTATCGATGACATCAGTACTGATAACCCTCAAGTATCAAAGATATCAGTGCTGATAACAAAGTATTAATGATATCAGTACTGACAACACAAGTATGATGATATCAGTACTGATAATTCAAGTATTGATTACATCAGTACTGATAACACAAGTATGGAAGATATCAGTACTGATAACACAAGTATCAATGATGTGAGTACTGATAACACAAGTATCGATATCAGTACTGATAGCTCAAGTATAGATTATATCAGTACTGATAACACAATTATGTATGACACCAGTACTGATATTACAAGTATCAATGACATCAGTACTGATAACACAAGTATCAATGTTATCAGTACTGATAACTCAAGTATTGATGACATCAGTACTGATTATTGATGTATCAATGACATCAGTACTGATAACTCAAGTATCGATTACATAAGTACTGATAACTCAAGTACTGATGACATCAGTACTCATAAAACAATTATCAATGACATCCGTATTGATTATACAAGTTCCTATACCACAAGTATTATACAGTATTAATGAGGTATGAGTACCGATAACACAAGAATCCATTCTTGAAGTAATCATTATATTAGTTTTCTTCCAATAAGTATTGATGCAAAAAGTATGAATGCCCTCTGTAAAGACCATTCCATTAGATTCCAAATAACATAACTTGTTGATACAGTTGAACTCACTCAAAATGTAAGTTTGAGACACCAGAAGCATCACGCAGTCCAAACTCATCATAGAGTGCTTATTTATAATCATTACATGTTGACTCTAGCATCATACTCTCTGTACAAAAACAAAAGGATTTCATCAAAAATTAAGGCCAGACCAGTTTTATTTGTTTTACAGATCCGAGGGTTGTATTTGATCAAGAATACGAAAAAAAAATTTTTTATTTTCCCCACTCACAAAAATATAATTCATATGAGTTTATTGGCCAAAAATGTAAACTTACAGGAATTTTTTTTAGATTTTCTTTTGCCATATACACTATATAAATTGCCAAATGTAAAATACTTTTTGTATTTAAAAGGAATATTACTTTGGCTTTTTTTTCCCTCCTGCCTTTAGGTTTTCTGAGGACAGAAATCTGTAAAACAAGAAATAAAACTGGTCTGGCCTAAGCTGGCTAAGAAACAGAAAGTATAAGTATGACTGTTGACAATTAAAAACACAGTTAATATGATTCAGTGTAATGAAGGGCAGGTGATCTATCATCACTCTTCATGTGATTGCAGCCCACTGATCACACCTTACAAACTATATTTTAGCATATACAACAGCACAAATTACATGATGAATAAAATAAAAATCTAATATGATATGCACTCTAATTATCCATGATACAAAAAATCACAATAAAAGTATTTACATATTTTCTTAAATTTCCACACTATGAAAGAAATCCAGTTCACTCTTCCTGCATATAAAGTGTAAATAAGTTGTGTTGAAGCTAAATAACTACATAACAGTTTATGACAAAACTTTACTTTATTACACGTAACATGGGATTGAGTGGATATATTTCTTTAAGATCTCAAATTTAATACTTATCAATGATTAATCGTTAGGTAGAAAACAAATTTTAAAAAAAAAAAAAAGAAAAGAAAAGAAAAACAATGTTGTCATAACCTAAATTAACAAACCTTGTTCAGGGCTAATTGACTTGGTGTTCTATTAATGTATCAATGATATGCATGTTACCATTAAAACAAATGACAAATAGTTTCAAGCCAGGTTTAGTTCAGCTTTATGATTTCAATTACATGTGTGATGATTGTAAACCACATGAGGAAATAGGAACAATATTCAGTTCCAATATAAGTATAGATCAGTACATGGAGATCAAGCTGGCTTGTCACGCCACATTACCTGGATCTAATGATGGACTGTGGACATGGGCTTAGTTAACGAAGGCTGCAGTGTCAATGTTTAATTATGAG